ACCAAGGTTTGTGGTGAAGAGATTGAATTTAAGGTCTTTTGAAGTGATGCCCATATTTCCGACAGTAACAATTTTTTTTGTTGCATGCTGAGAGTATTTTTTATTATTTTTAAATTTTATTTAATTTATACATTTTTTTGTTACTGTTTTATTTTATTTATAATAATAATATTCTTACAAGTTCTTGGATAATTGTCAGGTGTAGGAATTCCCTTATTGCCTTGTTTTTTAGGGCCCGGTTCAATTCCATTTTCCTACATTATGTGGCATAGAAATTTTTTATTTTTTTTTTTTGAAAACTTGCATTTTTTGTTCAGAGTAATACCTACTTGCTGGATTCTCCTCATTAGTGCCCAGACATGTTTGTACTAGAATGTCATCCATGTGACAATTTACTCCTTCCAGTTATTCCAACATTTTTGACATCATTCTTTGGAAAATTTCCAGAGCAGAGATTATCCCAAATGGAAGTTGGATAAAACAGAATCTTCCAAATAGTGCCAGAAACTTTGTAGGTAGCCAGGATTGCTTGTCTAATGGGATTTGCCAGAAGCCAGAGTTTGCATCTAATTCAGTAAATATTTTACTACCAATCAGCTTGGCTAGATTTTTATCCACATGAATTTCCTGCTTTACCATTTTATTTAATGCTGTTAAGTCTATGCAGATTTTAACATCTCCATTTCTTTTGGGTGCTATAACCATGCTTGAGCACCAATCAGTGGGAACAGTTACATGTGCAATAACATTTTGGAAGACCACCACTTCCAATTTTTCTTTCACTTTAGGTACTGTTAAGTGCCAAGTTCCGATGTCAGATAAAATATATACAAACAGCTAGAATGGTATATGTAAGGGAATAAGAGATATTTATTCATGAATTAGGTACAATATCATGGATAATCCTTCAGATACCATTTTCTAAGGGAGTGCATGTGTGAAAACAGGAAAAGGGGACAATAATACAACAGGTATTAATTGCGTATATCTACAGCTTGGGATATCATCTTCCTTTAGTTCTATTTTATATCTTTCCTTATCTAGACCTAACCCTTTAAAGAGATGTGGGAGTTCTGAACTGAAATTTGGAAGCTTGTCTACATTGTAAACTTTTGTCAGCTTCAGTAACTGAAGTGCCTGTATAGCCAATTTTGAGATAAGATTGGGAGTTTGGTTGACTAATGTATATATTTTCTTGGTGTATCCAGTTTCCTATTAGTTTTTGTTATTTGGCTAATCTTACTCCCCCTGGTTCCTTGAATTTGTGTTGCTTTTTCTAATTTCTGCCCTTGGATTCACAGAGTTCTCTCCCTTACCAAGGTTATTTTTTTTTTTATTTACTATCTAGCTTGAATTCACATGGATTATCATCCACTAGTACCTTTGTCAATCAGTTGTTGTTAAATTGACTTCTCCCAAAATATAATAATTTTGGGGGGCATCTATTGTTTTCTTTCTACTGCCTTAACTTTCTTTTTTGATTGATGCATAAGGTCTCATTTTTATACATTTGTAACATTTCAATGCACTTGCTGGATATTCTTTTTTATCATGGATATTTCCTCTGCCACACCATTTGCATTTTGTAATCATGAGTGACAAAGATTCTCTAGGCAACAGGCAAGCCAGTCCTTTTTGTTGTAGTTTTCAAATCACAATGCTTTTTCAAGATGGCGTAAAAATAAATGCTCCCACCTGGTGACAAGAGAGGGTAGATAATTTTATTTATCTCTCCAACCACATGACACCCACTCATCTATTGATCACTAGCTAACCACATAATCATCCATGCAACCAGGTGGATGCCTTTCTCACTGTGATCTACGCAGGGCCCCAGTTTCGTGTGTCATTTTTGTCTTCATCACTTGAAAACCTGTCACATATCCAAGATATGTAGGGGAACACCATCAACCTCTATTTGCAAACTGTATGCTGGTTATGGTTTCCCTCCCTCACCGAGTAGTACCTCAAGAATCAGGTACTTTTTTAATTTTACCAACACTTCTTTGCCTATTTGCAGATGCTTTTCCTTCATTTGCTTGTTCTTTCATCGGTGTAGCTTGTGGATGCCACCATTCATATTTAAACACTGCTCTTTGTGACTGATTCTTCTTGTCCTGTCTTTGGTGAAATACTGTATCAAAAGACAGCTTCCATTAGTGAAATACTAGTTGCTTTTTGTCATGGCCTTATATTGTTTGATGTCTTTCAACAATTTCATTGCCACTGGGCCTATACGATGCCTTGAAAAAACATCTAACTTCCCACCTATCTAGCATCTCTTTCAGAGTTGCTGAACAAAATGTGATGTTGTCTATTAGCACTTCATCTACTGAACCTATCTCTTCCAGCACCTTTGAAATTTCAGTCCATCATTTCTCCCTATGGCAGCTGCATGAGCTCCTTTTGACTGGCCAATACTTGGGTGAACTGATAACTCACACCAATTTCCGTAATGTGTTTATCAGGTAGCGGTTATAGAACTACAGAGATGTGACTTGGAAACCTATTTATAAAGACCATTTTTATTTCAAGGACTTTTCCACCCTTATGATACTGTTGGCATATACATCAATTTATTCACCACACCACATTGCTTAATTTGAAATATGCAACAAATTGGCCTTCCATGAATGTCTCCTTCAATCTCAACTCTCATGATCTGCATCATGCTGTGACAAACTTCATTTGTACAACTTCCAGGTTTGAAGATATGTATATGATTTCAGAAAATTTACTTCTTAAAATAAAGCCATATATTAGATTTCACCTGTAAATAAGGCAAGTGATTTCCTTCTTCGATTTCTATAAAATCAACGGATCATTATAGGTAATACGTATTTTTGAATTTACCTAATCAGAATTTAGCAAAATAGAATAATTTCAAATTTTCCTAAGTTTGAGGCTGTATTGTGAAGTACACTTAATATTTTTTGAAACAAATTTACATTTTAGAAGGTATTGTAGTTACAAAATAGCATATGTCAAGTATAGTGCAAGTCATTGCATAGAATAAATTGCCTACAATTAATCTATAATCTGCCACGTGGAAGTTTTTTTTTTTTAAAAAAAATCTACATTATCACTTAACCAAGATCACATGGCATTGAATTGGGATATAGTCAATTTTTTCATATACTTAACTCGGTAAAAATGTCACAAAATTCAAACTCAACACCTAAAAATACAATAACACAAATCTGAGAATATTGAGATTTGCTACTGTAAAAAAAAAAAAAAAAAAAAAAAAAAACTTGGAGAACCCAAAGTTTATAATTATGTAGAAGCTTGCATGTGGTAGCAAAGTGGACCCTTCTGAAGTAAATGCATTTTTTAGGTTGCTGTGTACCACAGACAAAATTGCATAATTCCTGCCTGTGGTCATGGTAAACTTTTTTTTTTTTTTTTCTTTTTCAGCTTGGGCACATGCTGAAATAAAAACTCCTTCAATAAAACACACAACACTGTTGAAGTAGTTGAATAAAATTTATATTAGCTACTATAAATCAAGTACTCTATTGTGGGATGGTGATTCTGGGAAATGCTAAGGTATCTTGAGTCAGTCAACTCAAGAATTCTGCATATGTTTGGCTTCTTGTGCAATAATGGAAATTGCAGGTGTGCTCTTTAATGATAGCAGTCTTACAAGCAACACCATGACCCATCATTGGCTGCTTTTCCACCCCAGCTGTGACAGATGCAACTGGAGCAAATCTCAGCAGTCTTGCCAAGTACACTTCCAAAATTTGACATTGATATATCTAACTTCTCCACCACTGCCTTAATGTTAGGAAAGCTTAATCCCAACCCTATACCATTCCCTGCCAATAAGACATGATTAACGTGTTTGAATTTCTTAGGTCCTGAGAAAATAAAATGAGATTTTATTTACACTGCATTATCCATTCTAAATGTGTGCGTGTTATTACAAATTATTCAACATAAACAAAACATCTCTATGACTATATTAACCATACCAAAAAACACATTATCTCCACAGAAATATACCTAGAAAAATTATAAGGTAAACAAAAAGGTACTGTATGGTGGCTGTGTGTTTTTACTCTTTGGTATAACATCTTATAATAATCTACATATGATTGTCAGTGAAGATTCACTGACAGTGCCTGTTGATATTGGAGATGAAATTTTTGGCCCTGTGAAAAATTTGTATACTGTTAAAGAGTAACCCAAATTCTTCTAAACAAAGAAATGAATGTTTCATACCTTAGTTCCAAAGAGCTTTATGCTTTTTTTTATTTTATAGTTTGATAATTTTATTTATTTGGAATAATTCTTTTACTTGCTGATTTTACAGTGGCCCTGCAAGCAACTGTCATTTAATGGACATTTGTTCTGTATTCTGCAGTTACATGTGGGTTTGTTTGTTTTTTTTTTGCATGCTAGTATATATATATATATTTGCAGTGCAACAGCAAAACTGGCAGTGAAAGAAAAAGATTTGAAAAAAAAAAAAAAAAGTTGTGAGGCATCTTGTTACTCCAGGACAGAAAGCTAGATAAGTTGGACAATGACTCTGAAAACTACATAAAAGTTATTTAAATCCCTTATAAGCTTGCAATCCTTAGCCATGATAACCATGCCCTTTTTTGTTGTTGATGGATTTCATCAATTCTGTTAAGTTTGGAGAGTAATTATACATTATTGCTCAAAATAGAATCCACTAGTGCTATAAAAACCTTGGAAAATCCCAGCAAGATACCTTTAATCAAGATTAAATCTGTTTAAACACTGTGTGAGGAGAAGAAAAAGTTGCTATATATCTCAAAGGTTTTGAATAGCATAGCAATGTAGGTAAGCAGATGAATTCAACACCAGTGATGGATAACAATTTTCAAGTTGAATATTCTGATGCAGTTTTAAAATAAAAGTATTCACATAATTACAGAAATTAACTGTATTAAATTTAGTATAAAACGAACAAAAAATTAGTATTAGGAATTAGTTTATTCCTTTTAACAGGTCTTGTGAATTTTCATTCATTTAGTAGCAGCCTTTCTTTGACCAATTGCCTTAGGAGCTGCTCTAGGTTTAGCAGGAGTTATACGAGCCTTGGCCGGCTTGGCACCTTTCTTGGCCGGCTTGGCACCTTTCTTGGAGGATGTTAGCTTTTTTGCCTTAGCCTTCATTAATTTTTTCTGTCTCTTTCCTTTTGCTCTCAACCTCTTCTTTTGTAAAGCCAACTTCTTGATCCTCTTTTCAGCATTCTTGGCTTTTTTCTTGAGGAATTCTTCTTCCTTCATCTTTTTCAATTTTCTCATGGTGAGCTGAAAATTTAATTTTCAAAACTATTAATAACTACTTCTAGTAGTGAATTTTAAATCAGATATTTCTAGTCATACTTGTAGAAAAGAAAAAAAGTTACATAATTTATAACCCATTACAGAGAATCTGGTAGTAAAATTGCTCACTACCTATTCATTACCATTACATTCTCGTAGCCCCACTGATAGTAAATATATACTAGTGCATTTAGAAAAAGCATAAATACATACCCCCTTCTTAAGAGTATTTTCTTTTAAACGTTTCTGAGCCCTCTGAGTAAGGATGGCACTTCTCTTCATGGCAGCGGCGTAGGGATTGAGTTTCATCATCACACGGAAGTTCTTCAAAGGATTCTTCTTTAGTACATATCTCCTAACTTTTTTGCTGAAGGAGGGTGATGGGGAAGAAAAAATCTTTAAGAGCACCAGGAACAGAAAGCAAAAACATGCAAAACAAGCTTCAAATCATAATTCATGTAAACTATTGATAAGCATGCTCACTGGAGGATGATAAAAAAAAAAAAAAAAAAAGGGGGGGGGTTGAGGGTCAAGAATCAGAACATCTTTAATGTCAACTGAACTTATTGCAGAATATAATACAAAGTATTGAAAATGCATTTAAAGCTGATTGAGAGAGATCTCAATTGGAGAACGCCCAAGATGCAAATATGATGAATGCTGCTGAAAATTGCCTCCATGGTCAAGGTAAAAACAGTGTTAGATTTGATGAAAACAGACCCTGCACACCCTTTGGGACCAGAGAGGCAAAGGAAGGGGAATCTGATGCACTTAGTACAGACAGCTTGTGGCACATGTGGACTTGATGGTAAAATCTTCCCAGTAATTGGTGTTGAGAATACTGAAAACATTTACAAACACCTAAGAACAGTAATAGGCTTGCTTATTTCTCTACATCACCAGTGTAAACCACACCATTTTAGGGTGCATTACAAATCCGGCTAGAAACTGATAAGATACAGCATTAACTTAAAAACTTGCTATATATTATATTATATGAGAAAAAAAAAAAACAAAAAAAACTTACTTTGGCTTCTTCAAGACTGACTGAATTTCATCACTTTTCAGAATTCTACTCAAGTCAGAGTTGGTCATTTTTGGCATAGGAAGGCTAAAGAAAGAAAAGAAGTCTTTAATCATTTAAAAGTTATGGCCAAGTGGTCCCAACAGAAACCACTCACACCGAGACCACATTACATAAACTGAGAAAGTAAAATACCTTTAATATTAAATCCAAATGTTTTTCTTCTTGAGAAGAAAGAATGAAACACTTACTTGTATCCAGTCTTTTCTTTGGAAGCCTGGGCCCATGTTCCATAGATGTTATCTAATTTCCTGAATGATGATTCAGTCCAGATTATGAATCTACCAACATGTCCACCAGGTGCAACTCTTCTCAAATTCAGATGTTTGACATTAATGGTAGTAACACCTGACAAGTTCAAGGAGGCAAGAATATCCGTTAAAAGGTGGAGAGAGAGAGAGAGAGAGGAAAAAAAAAAAAAAACACACACACAACCTCCAATCATATACCTAGATGCACGAATACATATCCAGATTAAAAATGCAGCTATAGAAATATCACAAACCCAAATACTGAAAATGCATTAACACAAAAAACAAAACAGACACACAAACTCAATGGCCATACATACCAGGGATGTTACGGAAAGCTTTCACAATGCCATTATCCTTTTCATAGACAATGAGAGGTCCCCTGCGCATGATTCTCCGACGATTTCTCATTTTCCCTTTGCCAGCCCTGAAGCGTTTTGATTTATAGACCTAGGGGAGAAAAGAAAAAAAGACTAAATTCAATAGCTTATCAATCAAAATTAAACAAATCCTTTAAATGAACCTTGCACAGAAGTTATATATTGCAAAGAAAATATATTTGAAAGAATTTACCTTTTCAATATCATTCCAGGCCTTCAACTGCCTGAGCAAAGTAACAGCTTCCTTTGTCTTTTTATATTCTTGAACTTTGTCATTGATAACTAATGGAATTTCAACAACATCTTGCACTTTATGACCTGGAAAAAAATAGAAAGTGCTGACTTTTAGAATGTTTTCAGTTATAATAAACAGAATATAATCAAACCTCCACTAAAGCTGGAAAAAAAAAAAAAAAAAATTTTTTTCCTGGCTTGGGAGGAAAAAGCCTCAACTATTTGTGCATTAATCTGATCAGTGAAATTGATACTAGTAATTTGTTAAATTGACAGAAAATTTAAATTAAGCCACATATTCAAGAGCAAAAGGTCAGGATATTGATAATTTTTTCATTGCAGTCAATAACACGGACCAAATATCATCATTCCTTTACTCAGAATAAATTAAAATCACGTGGAAAAAGTTTCACAAGTAAATGGGTAAGTTTGGTACTAAGTGCATGATTTAGCACAATAAGGAGGAGGAGAGAAAAAGGTTAGCTTCATAAACAGATTTTGAAAATTTCAATCAAATTTCTTCAGACACTATCATTTCCTAGCTTGGGAGGAAAAAGCCTCAACTATTTGTGCATTAATCTGATCAGTGAAATTGATACTAGTAATTTGTTAAATTGACAGAAAATTTAAATTAAGCCACATATTCAAGAGCAAAAGGTCAGGATATTGATAATTTTTTTTCATTGCAGTCAATAACACGGACCAAATATCATCATTCCTTTACTCAGAATAAATTAAAATCACGTGGAAAAAGTTTCACAAGTAAATGGGTAAGTTTGGTACTAAGTGCATGATTTAGCACAATAAGGAGGAGGAGAGAAAAAGGTTAGCTTCATAAACAGATTTTGAAAATTTCAATCAAATTTCTTCAGACACTATCATTTCCTAGCTTGGGAGGAAAAAGCCTCAACTATTTGTGCATTAATCTGATCAGTGAAATTGATACTAGTAATTTGTTAAATTGACAGAAAATTTAAATTAAGCCACATATTCAAGAGCAAAAGGTCAGGATATTGATAATTTTTTTCATTGCAGTCAATAACACGGACCAAATATCATCATTCCTTTACTCAGAATAAATTAAAATCACGTGGAAAAAGTTTCACAAGTAAATGGGTAAGTTTGGTACTAAGTGCATGATTTAGCACAATAAGGAGGAGGAGAGAAAAAGGTTAGCTTCATAAACAGATTTTGAAAATTTCAATCAAATTTCTTCAGACACTATCATTTCCTAGCTTGGGAGGAAAAAGCCTCAACTATTTGTGCATTAATCTGATCAGTGAAATTGATACTAGTAATTTGTTAAATTGACAGAAAATTTAAATTAAGCCACATATTCAAGAGCAAAAGGTCAGGATATTGATAATTTTTTTCATTGCAGTCAATAACACGGACCAAATATCATCATTCCTTTACTCAGAATAAATTAAAATCACGTGGAAAAAGTTTCACAAGTAAATAGATAACTTTCTATACCAAGTGCATGATTTAGTGCAATAAGGATAAGAAAAGGTTAGATTTGCAAGTGCATTTTCAATATTTCAGTTAATTTAAATTAGTTTTAAAGTAGAAAAAACTATTTTGCTTATTGGAAATATATATCATCCATTTGTAATGAAAACTATAATGAAAGCTTTAAGGCTTCATTTCAAACCTTAGGTATTGTGTTTCTTTAGAGGTACCTGTTGCAGTTTTGTATATAATATGTAACTAGTGAGCGAGCCCAAATGACTTAACTCACTTTATAGTCCACCAATAGAAGGTTAACCAATCAGAAGACGTAGCACATTCAATCCGTTGTGTATAAAGGTGGCCATTTTCTTTACCCTACCCAAATGTCTAGTTCCAGCTTGTCAAGCGAAGTGAAACAGAAGACTTTTACCGGGATATCCACTGCTAACCTGAAATACGCTTCCCTACTGTCTTCGAAATATTCACTGCTAACCTCTGGATTCTATACTCGAAGATGACCATCATAATGAACAACAGTACCTATATTCAAATTTTGCCAAATTTAAAATTAAATCACATTCAAGAGCAAAAAGGTCTGGATGTTGTTAATGTTTTTATTGCAGTCAATAACACAAAGCAAATATCATTCCTTTGCTCAGGCTGTAAAGTAAAATCTTGTCAAAAATTGCTAGATCCATCCAATAAAGTTATGGAAAGCAAACCAGCATTTTGCCCATTTTTATAATATAATATAAAATACCACAATTACACTATTTTTATGCTATTGTCTTTAGTGCTCATGTTTCAATTATATCCTCTCCAGGGTCAAGACTGTTCTTGTTCCACTGCTCACATCTAGTTCTTATTTTTGGTACTGCCACTAAATTCACGAACAAAAGGTTTCAATCCACTAGGCCTACATTTATACTGCAGAAACATGGAGAGCATGTGATGGAAAATTTGAAGATTTAACCTACGTACCGCTACGAGATCTCCATAAAAAAAAAAAAAAAAAAAAAAAAAAAAAAAAAAAAAAAAAGCATAGCATGATGAAAAAGACCCCAAACTTGACGAAAACAAAATTTTATTGTCTAAATGTTTATGTTATTATTAAGAGGAAAGATCAAAGTATTTTGGGAGTATTTTTTTTTTTAACACTTTAATTGTTCCGAGCACATCCGAAATTTATTAACCCCCCCCCGTCAGCAAAATTGATCATTTTTTTCTTTCCATTTTATAAAAAAAAAAAAAAAAAAAAAAAACAAAAAAAAAATGGAAATCTCAGATTGAAATTCTTTTAAATATCAATTATCATTTTTTTCAAAACTTATTTTAAGAAAATCAGAAATTATGTTAATTTAAAATATTTTGAACCAAGCTTAACTTACTACACCGAAAAGATGTAATTTGAAAATAAAAAAAAAGCAGGTCATAAACTTTTGCGTCACTTGACAGGTGATGAATCCGTATTGACGGATTATGTGAGGCTAATTTGTTCTACGGAAGGAGAAAAGTGAAATAATTTACACTTAAGTGAACAAATTATTTACCTCTTTATTTTTAAGGAAAACTTTCAGCGCTCTAATTATTTTGTACTTAGCTTTCACCTTCACGTTTATTATGCTTTATGGAAAATATATTATAAAGGACTTAAGAGTGACATTAAATTTCATAAGAAAGGTATCTAATTAATTTATAGGTACTTTTCTTATGAAATTTTATCAGAAGTGTACATAAAATACTATAATTTTATGTATTTATTACATTTTACTGTGTTATTTGTATCTCCATTCATTTTATTATTAATTTTATTTCATTTATGGAAAAATGTCATAACTGAGATTAATATAAAAATAAGATCATAAATTTCACAAGATGATACTGATACTTGTAGGTACCCTTCTCAGATGAAATTGAAAAATCAAATTAACTTCTCCACGTGTTTCGCAAAAGTAAACAACGCAACTTAATTGTATTCTGGTCGGTCTTCTGTACTTTATAATTACAGCCCGATTATAAACACAAAATTACATTTAATTACTGTGGACCTTCTGATTAGTCAAAATGATACAATTTACAATGCACTAAAAAAAAAGATCTAACTCATAAGGACACTTAGGAAACCTGATGCAGCTTTTAACTATTTTTATATTTTAACAACTTAAATGTAATCTATTATAATTAAGAAATAACTATTAAAAATTCATTAAAGCAAATAAAATTAAATGTTATTGGTCAGGTTCAATGTTGCCTAACTTTAATGACTAATTATATCCCTCTCTAATATATATATATATATATATATTATATATATATATATATATAGTGTGTGTGACCCACTCACCCTTTGATTCCACCAAGGCAGTGATTCCACTAGCAGCTACAGCAGAACAGAGCGCATATCTTCTCTGGTTGACATTGATTTTCCTGTGCCAACGCCTCCAGGTTTTGGTTGGAGCAAACATACGTCCTCCACGGCACATGTTACCAAAGGCTCCCTGACCTGACCTATGGGTTCCACCACCACGGACACGAGGTATACGAGCAACAGCACGGCCTGTACCCCAAGACTCAGCAGAAGTTTGATGACCTGTTAAAAAAAAAAAAAAAAAAAAAAAAAAAAAAAAAAAAAAAAAAAAATATATATATATATATATATATATATATATATATAAGGAAGGCATTAACAAAAAGTTTATCAGAAGATGTTTATACTGTGACATGATGGTATAATATTTGTGCTCACAATAAGATATCTTATTGTGAGCACAAGTATTATACCATCACATCAAACAGGAATCTTTAGTTTCAGTTAGCAATCCCAAGAATTTAGTTAAATGCTACACATAGTACACGCTTGATCGTTTGATACATGCCTGATGAAACAATATCCTTCCCATCAATAAGTTGCAATTTCTCTCTGTGGTAGACTGGTTGCCAACCAAGGTTAAAGAACCCAGCCTGCCCTGCTATTCACCCCACACCCGGAAGAAGTGAGATTCATACATTTCCTCAAGTGCATAAGCAAATATAACAAACCCATCTCAGAGTTCTCATTGCGGGCCCATATCCATTACACAACGCACATCCAACAACTCAAAGAAATAATGATACTGATTGATAAATGCAGGAGTTTTTTTTTTTTTTCCTTATCAGAGTGAGTTTTCTAAGCTGCCATACCTTCATAATCACCATTAGTCTTGTCCAATTCTTACCAAATCCCCTGTACTACCTTCAGATTGATACCCAGATAGTAAAATGCATGTATTGGAGCTGCTGGTATGAATGCTGTCCACAAATTTCTGGCAGAGGGAAAGGCACAAAATTAAAAATGGCAACAATTTACCTATTGCACCCCCATAAAGAAAAATTAAAAATCTTGGTTGATTTGTATTAAGCCTTTCCATTTATAATTAGTAAATATAGATTTCACTTAATATATTCTAAAAGGCTGAAATTAATACAGAATTTAAGATCTAAACTTTAAAATTCATTATCCATTAAAAAAAAAAAAACTTCCCTAATATATCTGAATATAAGCTTTTCTAATTAAATTGTTTACAATATCAGAAAACAAATGGCTGATAAGATCGATTGATAGATAAGGATTAAGAAATCTAAAAAATATTCAGAAAATACTTTGGTCTTTCCTCTGAGATCAAACTTAGACGTAAAAAAAAAAAAAAAAAAAATTTGTTTAATCAAGTTTTGTGCCTTTTTTTCATTATAGTATGCGAATTATTAGATTTATTTTTTTTTTTGAGTATGGTGTTTCAAAAGTAACATTAACAAAATTTAAAGTACTATGGAAAATTAAAATATGATAATAAAATGAAAAATATAAATTACCATAACATTCCTATCATGATCTTTCTTCTGCTATTGATGTATTGTAAACAAAGTCAATGAATTATTAGAAATTAAGTTGATTTGTTAAAAAAAAAAAAAAAAAAAAAAAGTTAGATTTTGAGTTCGACATTCCAATCTATAATTTCTATCTTAAATACACCAGAATATTTTACTTACTCGAAATAAATTTAATCATTTAGCTTTCAATTAAAACTAGAATGAAGTCTTTAAGAACGCTTTTTCATTTGTAAAATTTAATTTTAAAACTTAAGTATCGAAAGTTCAGTGTTACAAGAGCTTCTCCATTGATCAATAAGGATCAATGAAAGGAACCAATCGTTAAGAAATGCTTGTGTATATATATATATATATATATATTTTTTTTTTTTTAATGCTACAAGTAGTGATATTTATCGCAAATCAGATTAATTTAACTTTAAATTATCTAATCACAAATCTATAATTTTTAAAGAATTTTGAAGCCGATAAATTTGTTTTTTTATAAGTTTACTTGAAATAAATTTAATCGTTTAGCTTTCAATTAAAAACCTTTTGAGCGAAATAGTACACATGCCTACAAAATCTGAATCAAACAACTGTTTTTTTTTTTAACGATAACTGGTTTCACTTCGTAGCATATTTTCATGTGGGATTTTTTTTTTTTTTTTTTTTAAATCGAATCTTTGGAGGTACCTACAACTTTCAGTTCTTTCTCATAGCACAAAGTTCAATTCAACTGAATGTAGTTTTGCGGGTCTTTTTCTTCGACTATCAGTGTCGGCATACCTAGAGAAATCAACAAAGCCGGTCTTCACATCTTTAATTTAACCTACCTGCATATTCACTGACACAATATGGATGACGAGAATTTTTCAGCATTTGGTCATGCACGAAGCTGACAATATCTGGCCTGATTGGAGCCAAGAATATTGACGGTAATTTGACATGGTTGTTAGTGGTTTCCCCCTTTTCGGAGTACACTGTCACAAGCGGTTTCACAGCCTGAAAAGGAAGAAAAGCGATCTAAAGTATAAAAAAGTGACCCGGAATTACAGTGTTAAGTAATTTTGATTAATCGGCAACATTTTAAAAGCACGTGTGCCAACTGCTTAAATTAAAATAAGTATTATATATTTTAGTAAATAATAGTAAAGAAAAAAAATAACTTAGATAAAATTTTAAAAAATCGAATTTATAAATTGCCGAATAACATTTAAGCAAATAATGATTATTAGTTCTCTATATGCTAGTGATGGCCTTGGCGTTTCGCGCCCCAAATTAGTTCTTAGGACGTTCAATCTAAACTAAATATACAAAAATTACCTACACACTAAGATTATCAGAACTAAATAAGAAAAATATTATAACCCTAAAAAAGAATAAAATACGTTCAGCTATTTTAACTCTCCGTTAATTTACGCTATCCTAAAATTCTTAACTAGCCGAGAGTACCTCATATTCAACAAAACAATCGTGATAATTTGGATGCTAAAGAAAGCTAAACTATGTCGCATAAGTTGATCAAAATATGAAAAGGATTAGCAAACTAAATTCTAAACCATTCAAAGCGATTTGGATTTAATAAAATTGATACATGTGAAAAGGAAATGAAAATCAGCGCCACGTAACAGCAGCAACGTGTAGGAATAAGAACATGAAATTACGGAAAGCATTTGTTCTAATCATTATTAAAAGAATATTTAAGAATTTTTTTTTTTTTTTTTAGAAACAAAAAAACATGACCATGTGAAAAAAAAATCCTTTCCAAATCGAACATAAACTCACATTTACTATTAATAACTAGTAATTGACGTGAATTTGAACATCGGAATTTTAGAAATATATTCACTTTTTAAGAAGCTTCACGTGGCTCAATTCACCGGCCATTTTGACGATACGTGGAAGCACATGTCAATTTAAAGTGACGTTTAAGCAGGTTATACTAAAACGTAAATCACCTTAGTCGCAGAAGTTAAATTAGATATTAATATAAAAAAGTACATGTTTAGTAGAGATGAAATTTGCCCAAGAAGAAAAAAAATATAAAAATTACTTACCGACATTGACATGGCGACAAACCACCCTCGGCTTTTGATTAAAAAAGAGAACGAGATTCTCACGGTAACAAGAAAGTAGATCCTGACTTGAGTCACTATGTGGCAGTATCCATGCTCTTAGGGTGATTAAGTCTTGATGTAACAAACACAAAATATAATAAATAAAAAATTAAAAGCACAAAATTATATAGAACACGTACTTATATAAAATTATTTGGTTGTTTCGTTAATAGCTAAAGTAAAAATAGGTAAATAAATTTATACATATAATAGGTTTTATTTTCGCCGCGTAGGAATTAGGCTTATTTGGCGGATGAGCATAGAGCCACCCATCGGCTAAAATGTGTGTAATTGACGATAACTCAAATTTTGTTGATGCCGCCAATTTTATTTTAAGTCCAACTTAACTGAAAGAATAATGTTACACGAATTATTATTTGCTCTTTCCGGACATACTGGAAATATATTTGCTGAATATGATGATCGAATACAGGTAAATAAAACATATTAATTGAAAAAACAAACTTGTCTTCGGCATTCAATTTTTACAATTATTGATTGTAATAATTTGTAGATCGAGGATTAAATAAATGATTTCAACTTTCTTTAAGGGAATAACAAACCTATGAAATATTTATTAGTTAAGTTATCGTTTTTAATTTTTTAAATATGTATTATCTTTAAAATTATTTGGTACTTATTTTTAAAAACGACATGTTCAGTTTACTTTGGCAAAAATTACTTTTTTAAAGCAATCGTAAGCATTGACTTACTAGAATAATTAATTTATTGATATCGATTAAGAAACGATAATTAAACAAGTTGTCTCCTGCTCGTGTTAAAAAAAAAAAGTTTCTCTGTTAGTAATTGCTTTTTTATTATTCGTGCTGTGAAACGATCCGGGTTCGAATCTCACCGCGGTCAATTTGTCACATCAGCTTGGACTGGAGAGACAGTCCCAGTGCACGACATCAAGAAGTGCTTGAAATACATATTACAGGTTGACTCAAGCCTTGGGAGGGAAATTGATTGTTAGGGAACCGTCGAAGGTTATAATAACAAAGTTATGTTACGTAGTGACCGAGGGTTTGTAGTAGTGTCTTTGTTCAACTACTGATCATGTGGAAAGCGCTATCTCCGAGAAACTAAACTAACTCAGGTCTGCTTTTCCATAGTTGCAGTATATACCGCATGTTGGCTCGGTGGGTGTTGAAGAAACACAAAATGTGCCTGAGAAGGTGTCTGCAACAGGAATCAACTTAGCAGATGGCTATAGTCAGAAACGAGGAACCGGCAATTAATGCCTAGTTCTTCAATCACTCCCAGGCAGTATACCCACCATTTAAAACTAACATTGTTGGTTCAAGGACATGTAACCTTGTCAGAACTACTCTTCAACAAAAAACCAAAGTGTTCACCTTGACAGTTACCATTCAGATGACACAAACTGTCATAAAAATGTTTTCTGACCGATTAGAAAAGATCCGAGCAGCTTCAACCAAGAATTCATCTTCAAGCAACTCCAACACTATATAAATAAAAATTTAACTCTGAGGCAAAAGACTCATCAAAGCAACCATCATCACTTTCCTGTCTTGTCTGTTTTGGCCAGGCATTCACTGAAGATATCTACCCAATGAAGCCTGTTCCTGATAACTAAAGGCAGCCGTAGAGATGCCAGAAGTTCAGTGTTAACGGCAGCAGCCAAGGCTACATGATGAAAACAACCTCTACTCTTATTATAAAACTCATAGACGTGCATAATTTCTTTACATGGTCTCTGCAACTACAATGCAAAATTAGCTCCTGTGGTAGAATCCCAAGACAAACATTGAACTCTAATCATTTTGATATATTGCCCTAGGTGAAAATGTAAATAATTTTTCCTTTTTATTAAATTGCCACCTCATTTTCATCGTTATGAGTTACCTCTCATTCCTCTTCTGTTGCCAGGAGTTATATCCTTAATGACACACTCAAACAAAGCCCTTTCACACTCATTTCTTGCAACAGATATATCCTGTTACATGGGGCCCGAACATTAAACTGACTTTGTTATATTTTCCCTTAAATATTTAAGTAGGTAGATTATGCACTGGTATATAAAATCTATTGTCAAGCTTACAGCAGAAAAAATCAAGTCAAAGTTTATTCTCGTCTATTGTTAAATGAAATCACTGTGCAGATCTAAAATCATTCTCCAAAATTAAGGAAAATCTATCCTTGACAAGTGTTAAAAAATAAATTAGGTATTATGAATTTGTACTTAAAGAAATTGTCATTTAATGTTAAAAATTGATTTCATCTTGTTAAAATGTAAAATATTTTTCAAAAGTAGATTACAAAATAGTATTTTAGAGAAAAGCACTTTCAGTATTAGTGTTAACACTTAGTTTTTACATTTGTATTTTCAAAAAGGCATTTGAGTCTTCTAATACTTTTTCAAACCCCTTTCTTAAATCACTGTTAGATAATTATCTAGTGTATTTAAATTATGTTCATAAAAATATAATTAATGAGTAAATTGAATAGTCCTCATGAGAAACAAAGCCTCATGGCTGAAAAAAAAACTGCACTTTTCCCTACAAAAAGGTTACCAAGTATTTTATGCTGAGTAAAGCATGCTAATTTTTTTCTTTTCAGATTAGTTTCAAATGAAACAGTAATTATTAAAGATGAAATATAATCTTTTCATGTGTGCTTGAAATTTATTACTGCCTCTGTTCTGCAATAAGTGATTAATTTCACTCTTTATGTAATGTAAATCTGGTCACTTATAGAATGGAGATGGTACTAATTTTGAACATAATAATAAAGAATACCAAATGCCATTTGTATTTAAAAAAAAAAAATAAAGTAAAACTCTAAATACATTATCCTTAGCTTTTCAGTGTGTGTTTAATGGCTAAAGTAGTTGTATGTTTACCAGTTGTATTTACAAATAGGTAGAGGGGGAGAGGAATAAAATTTTTGAATGAAAATTATATACAATGAAAAATGCATTAGTATGGGACCCTCCCCATTGCCTAAGAACTAGCAGAAAAAGTGAAAATGTAAAAAAGAAAGTAAATAAAATAAAACCAAAACAAGGTTCCCACAACTCCAGAGAACTATACTTTCTGTTACTTAAAAGGAAGTGTAAGGGAAACAAAAAACTAAAATGAGAATAAACTTAAAAAATGAAAAAGAGGCTAATTACCATTTATTTCTTAACTAAATTAATAATTTTAAAGATAATATGACAAAAGAATTTCTAATCTAACCTGAGTGGGCAAGTACATTTTTCTTAGAACAAGTTTTTCAACCAGTCAGCTGAAGATGCCACTCAAGGTTATATCCATTCACTTATGCCAGAGATGCAATGTTCATCCAACCTTCAGCAAAGTTCCCTGAAGAGAGCCTTTCTATTTTTTTTTTTTTTTTTTTTTTTTTAACCCTGATTTTGACTTTCAGCTAGTGCTTGAAGAACAAAACCAGATGATGGGAAGAAAGAAGCAACTCTCCATAAACTTTATCTAACCTTGTCATCCATACAAACATGTGCATCATTGGTAGCGAGCATTAAAATAGTGTTTCTTCTTGCTCAATGATGAATTCACATTACTGCTAATGAAACTATTTTTCAAGACAAAAAATTGTCCATGCCACATGTGAACCATTTTTCTTCAGTAAATTCAAAAGAAATTAGCAACTCTGTTTTGGGACACAATTTCAGATTGGGTGTTTCTTCCTCTACACTGGTTTCTCGGTATTTTTTGTTGTTCTCTTCCCTGTATCCGCTTCATCATTCATTCCTCCTGTCACAACTGTACATACAGTACAATGTACACTGACAGTGATGTCTCTTATCTCTGCAATGGTCTACTTATAATGGGGAATCACCAATTACTTGCCCAGATGATAGACATACAAGCACCTTGGAATAAAGCACTAACACCACCTGGATGTTCCTCCTTAATTCCATCCAATCACGCTAATATTATACACAGTTGCTAATGAACCAATTTCTTATGGAACAACAAAGAAGGGTCTCTTTTGACAGAATGATATACTCACCTCTCAAATCAAAGTCCTACATGCCAAACAAAGATGAACTCTCTTTCATCAAGAATAAGGCAAGTCCCGTTCACCATTTCTGCCATTTGGCTTGGGTTCTGGTTCACTATGTCATCCACACATAAGATGTACAACCAAGCAGCAAAAGAAGGCATGCACAATAGAATCACAACAATGAATGCACTCTGATGAAATAGGCAGTTCTGCCAAGTATTTTTTGCCAATTCAGAGCACAGTCTGAATCACCAGCCAGCTGAGGGATGCTTTATCATCAGTGAGGCATTTCAACATGGGTGCCCAAGGCCATAAGGAACAGTAATCTCTCCTCATCAGGCTGAGCACCTCAATTGCTGCAAACAGCACCCTAACAAACGTGTTATAATGCCTTTCTCAACAATGGCCAGGTCTCAGAGAGAACAGCCTTCACCTGAGAAAGAACTTTCAATGTATGCTGGCATTCACAGTAGAATTTTGGGGTCTCTTGTTCATCTGAGTGCTTGCTTCTCAGAGCCAGAAATGCTTTCTTGGCATCTTCCTTCCAGAAGCTCATCTTGTGTACACACCTGACCAAGGAATTTTGAATGCAAAGTATGCTGATGTGTCTCAATGTTTTGAATTCTGTGGCTGCCCTTGGAGGTAGCATACCTGTCAGTACACCATAGGATTTGAAACAGATCCCTTGCTGGCTTAGTTAAGTACCCTGTAGTGATATCACACTTTACAGTACTGATATTGATACTGGTATTAACAAAATCATGCATTTTTTTTTTTTTTTTCTTTTCATGTATTTGAAGGTAAAAAAAAGTTTTTGAATGTGATCTATTTTATTGCTTAAAAGTTTAGTCATATTTGTCCATTATAGGTAAGCTTCAATGATATAAGAAATAACACCAAAAATCAATAATTATTTGAATTCAGTAAACTATATCCTTAATGATAATAAAGCTTTT